ATAAATTAGCGTTCGTAATTATTAAAAAAATAGATATACGTTATTAACATATAGAATAACTTTTTTATTTTCTATTAAAATTTTAAGATTTTTTTTTAAATTATAGAACGAGATATGTGCTTTTAGATAAAAAAAGAATTTTTAAATTTAGTCTTATAACTATTAAAGCGTAAGGAATTCAAATATCGCTTACTAAAGTTCGCTTATTAAAGATCGCTCGATAGTCGGATAGTTCTAATTAAAAAAAAATTATAAATTTAATCTATAGACCTTTACTCGTAGTAGTAGAATACGAGTAAAGGCCTATGAATTAAATTCATAATCAATTTTTTTTGATCGGGGTTGTCGAGTAAATTTTGGTAAGCGATCTTTGATAAGCGATATCTAAATTTCTTATCTTTAAATATCTATAAGACTAAATTTAGTAATTCTTTTTTTATCTAAAAGCCTATATTATACTCTATAGTTTAAATAAAAAAATTTTAAATTTTAATAGAAAATAAAAAAGTTATTCTAAAATCAAATAATATATACCTATTTTTTTTTAATTAGGGCTGTTCGGCTGTTAAGCGAACTCTGATAAGCGATATTTAAATCTCTTACGCTTTAATAATTATAAGATCAAAATTCAAAATTCTTAAAAATTCGAAAAGCGTAGACTGCGCTCTAAAATTGAAAATTTAAAATCTCGAAAAGTTAATAGAAAATAAAAAAGTTTTTCTATATGTTAATAATATATATCTATTTTTTTAATAATTGCGAACGCTAATTTATTTACTCGCGGTGTTTAATTAAAAAGCGTAGACCTAACGAATTAATAATTAGCTATATATATAAATTCAAGATTTTCTAATTTAGCTCTATCTTATTCTATTATATATACTAATAAGAAGATCTTATAAGAAGCTTTTTATTATCTAGAATTATTATAAATAACTTTATTAATCTAGATAAACTTATATATTAAGAGAGTATTAATTAATCTATATATAAGCGAGTTTTAAAGTAGATATAATAGTCTTATAAATAGAAGTTTTAGATTAATATAATTATTATAATTATTATATTATTAGATATTAATATATTTCTTCACCCCGAGATTTACCCGACTACTGCCGACTTTCTTTTCTTACTAAAAATAATATTTATACTCTTAAATATCTATATAATTATATTATAAATTCACCTTATATTTCTACGCGTAATTCTTCTCTAGCTAATTACGAGGCTACTACTCGCCGTAAAGTCAAATTTTTTAAAACTATTAACTTATAAGCTCTCGATTAATTAATTCGAGATATATATAATAAGAAAAAAAATCTTTATAATACGAATAAGTATTAACTACGAAGATATAGAATTAAAGAATTTTTTAATATAAGATATATCGATAAAAATCGCTCTAAACGTACTTTTAAAATTTCTATAGAGATTCTTCAAAAAATAATTAATTCAGTCGAGAATCCAGTACGCCGAGAATTATTTTTTATTTAATTAAAACATTTCCGTGTCGATATAAGCGAACGAACCCTTTAACGATTATTATAAGCTCGAATTAATAACGCGTAGCTATATAAAATAATTCAAGTTAAATCTATTTCTAAGTAAAATCTAAAAGAGCGTTGAAAATATAATACGAAGTATCTCGAGTAAATAGTAGAAGATTTTTAATAATACGTCGTTTTTATAGATAAGACATACTATTCTCGAAACGCACTATCTCAAGATCGTATACTCCGCAAAAAGAGTATTCATTATAACATTAAGAATCTTCAAGAATTATCAAATCTCAAATCGTACTCAATTTATATCTCGAGAAGTATCTTTTAATATTATAAAGAGATTACTATCTATTATAATAAGAATAACCCTCTTACTATAAAGATTTCGAAGTCTTATAGATCTATAAGACGTTCTAAACGTAAAACCTCTTTAGAATATAAAATACAAATCGAAGAATAAAAAGTATCTCTGTTATATAAACTCGAAATTAAAGAATCTAATAACTTAATAACTTAAAACTACTACGTTGATAAGTTACTTTCAGACTATATTAAGTAAATTTATTACTTACGAGTATTCTATAGTTAAGATATCTTAATGAAAAACGATAATAGATCTTATAGAAAGAAATCTAAATCTATAAGTTAAGCTAATTAACTTCGTAAAGTTAATTAAATTAAAATACTTATATATCTAGCTTAATTATACGATCTAAATTCGAAAGAAGATATTTAGAACATATATAAAGCTAGAGTTTATTATCGACTACGTCGAAATAAGGCGAAGTTGCTACGAGTTATTTATAAGAAATTTAAAAGAATTTCTATATACGAAGTTCGGGCCTATATCGCTGAAATACCTTAGCGATATCGTTAACTAGTAGAAATAGATAATAGATATATTAAATCTAATTTATAGTGATATTCAGAAGGAATATATATAATAGATTCTTAGTTTTCTTTAAATGCGTATAGCAGTCGAATAAACCTCGAGGTAGAGAAATATATCGATATCTAATATATTATACTATAGTCTACGATAGACTTTAGAAATATTCTTTACTATAAATTATTAACTTTCTACTATCTCTACTTACGAATAGCTTTAATCGCTAAGACTTTATACTTATTTATATAAAAGTAATTAAAAGATATAGCCTATTACAGCTAGTTTATATATAGTATAGCGTAGCTTAGTAAGGGTTACCTTTCTGTAGGAGGCTTCTTAGAATCTACATCCTTGCTACCCACTCACGATTCTCCTTTCAAATCTGGTTCCAGAATTCGTCGCACACCCTAACCAGATTTGGGGAAGCGGCTTGGCGTTAGGGTGTGCGACGAATTCTGGAACCCGCGTGCCCCCCAGTCCCACAACGAGGTGCCGCAATTTGGCCCCCAATGTTCCCGGATCATCCTTCAAATCCGACTCTTGAAATTGATATGGGTCACACTTCAAAGACAGGATCCGGAATGGGGTCAACAGTAGCACTGGCGCTGCTCAAGACTTTTTGGTGCCACCCTCTGTAGAGGTCGGTGACAGAAATATGAGTCGTCGCCTACTGCTCTCGGTGCGACGGGAAGTCGCGTGTTGAACACTGTAAATGTCCGGGCCGATAGCCATCGGTGGGAATAAGAGTGATCAGCGATTCACCGAGTCCATACTCTACCAATGTAACAGGGACCGTCTCAGAGGTTGTTCCTCCCTTTCCCTCCGCTTTCGGTGTCGCAGATACTGGCAATGTTCCAGTGGGCTTGCCGAAGTATTTTGCTAGCGAGGCCCATTATAGAATCAATCAACGAATACCAGCAGACGAAGAACCTTCATGGTTAGGACGACAAAGTGCTTTTGCAGTTGCGCCTCAACAAAGCTCTGACCATGCTCGACTGAGCGACCTGGTCAAGTTCAACCTCAGCTTTTTACAGCCGTCCCCATCAGAAAAGTTCGTTGCCGATCGAGACTCCTTGTCCCGTAAATCAGCAAGTCATCATCCCAGCTCGGACGAAAATGAAATATGCTTTGATCTCCTTGGATACGATGAAATGCACAGAGGCTGGGTCACGAAACAGAATTCGTTCAAAAAGGATTCATCACATGTACCCAAGGCGGGTTCTCTAAACGGAGACGCAGACATATTAGAAAGGGAGGCGAGAGTCAAAATAATAGCCTTGATAGTAAAAGCCTTGGGGCCCAGAATCCCCGAGACCGTGCGCGTTGGGGCAGGTCAAAGGGACGGAAACATCATGGACAAGAAGATGAAAACAAGATCAACAAGACCGGCGGTTGGACATTCAGATACTGAATGTTCGAGGCGTTAGGTACTTTGGTAGTCGAGGGTGACGCAGAGGGCACAGAGGAGGCGGAAACAGGAACCATGAGATCCACATTTTCAGAGGCGCCAGAGAGCAATACAGACTTTGCCGCAACGGATAGCGACCAGGAGGTCGAATCAATGACTTCAAAATTTAGCCCACTCATGCCAAGTGGAATATCGTGCAATCAGTGTTGGAGATCGTTCAAAAGCGACTTGACTCTCAAAAACCGCGTCCTAATATGCCAGGGTAAATGCCAAAGCTGCGAGGAGCTTGGCGTTCCTTGTATATCTGACACTACGGCGTCGAAGAAGTGCAACGGCTGTATAGCACTCGGAGTGGTATGCCAGGGCTGGAAAGAACGACGGAGAAAAGAAGTCGCCGATCCTTGTCTCATAACGCGCTATTATAATGTCCGGGTCAATGTGAGGAATGCAACGCACGTTCCTTGCGTCCATCAACCATCGCGCTACACACTGCATCAATTGCAGAGAGAATGATTTGGTGTGCAGCAGCGGCTACGCAACTATGGAACACGTCTGTCCACGGTGTGGACTACGGATGGTAAAGAGTGGCGATTTTTACAAACTCAACATTAAGTGCATGGGCAAATGCACGGAGTGCAGTGAACATGGCGTCCCTTGTTTAAAGAAGAACGGGGCCAGGGCGGACGCTAGGTTCTGCTTGAACTGTGAGAAAACTGAGCTCCAGTGCAGCGGCCGCGTCAGTCACAGGACCGATAAGAGGTGCTCTCGCTGCGAAGCAGTCCCGAACGTTAGCGTAGACTTATTCGATGATCACGAAAGGAATCGTCTGGGCAGGTGCGGGAATTGCATTAGAACGAATGTTCCGTGTCAGTTCTTGACGGGCAAAAGCATTTGCTCGAATTGTACGAAACGAACGTTGGTATGCGGCGGTCCAATGGGCCAAGAGACTGCTGCTAAGGGTAGCATCGATATTGCTGCCAGTCGTAAGCGAAAGATTGGCAGGCCGAGAAAGGATGTGACAGGGGGTAACACTGGGCACTTGAAGATGATTGATCCTGCAAATCCTTCGCTTGCTGAACTCAGTGATGTAGACAAGGTCGCGGACTGCTTGATCTTTGGCGATCACAATCTCTAACCTTACAACGCTCCTATCGTCTTATTGATCTCAGCCGTCTAGCCTTAAGTTCCGACTCAAGTCATCTTATCTCAGCCGTCTAGCCTCCCGTTCCGACTCCAGGAGGCAGAGGATATCGTCCTCACGGACTATACGGAGACCCAACAGATTAGCCAAGGTCGACCATGACAAGTTGTAGACGCTAATTACCGGCCCCCTTTACATTTCGGATTATAGAGCGAGTTTGATCGTCCATGAACTCCACCCTGACCTGGGTCACGCCGCCACGAGAGCCTGCGGTTGGTCAACAAAGAGGAGGGGAAGGCAGGGTGCAAGGGGACAGACCGGTTCGGCCAAGGACTCTGGTAACCTTGACGAGCTTGACAGGGTTTTTGGAGGCGTCCATGGCGCGCGTTGTATATTTATGACAGAGAGAGGAGGATTGTAGATCATGATGAACAATTTTGTGTGATTTCGGAGCGGTAGTCTCGGTAGGAACATGCCAAGGCGCTGTACGGTACAGTCGTCGGCAAAACCCGAGACTTGGCAGACTCGGGCAATGAATATAAATCGTCGACCTCAAAGCCCATTACCACCCCCCCCCCAAATTCTTAGACTACGACAAGATCTCGAAAGTCATATAACTCCTTTCTGAGATCCACATCCAGACACGGCGACCACGGACCAACGACAAGCGCAACTCGACACCGACAGGATCTCGGACAGTGACAAGCGAGACCTGCAGCAGTCCATCAATAATGAGATAGAGAAAGCCAAGATTTACTACTTCTGCTTGTTTTTCTATATCACGGAGCGACAGATTCTTGATAGGATCTTTCGTTGGCATACTGTAGTAGATTTGGTGTTGCAGGCTTTTCTCTGACCCGCTACCTAGCCCACTCGCTAGTCGAAAGCGGCCACGCCCGTGCGACTCCCGAGTACCTTACCTAGTACCTCTTACCTTGCCAAGACGCGCTACTCATACCAACACCTCTCTCACCCTCCACCCTCCCTCACTCCCCCTCTTCCCCCAAACCCCACCATGCTCCGCCGCAAACCCACAACCATAACCCTCACGACCGAAGACGTCGCCGCCTACGACGACGCCCGCGCCGCCACCAACGACCGGCAGGAGAACGTGAAGCCGACGGACGGCGACGGCAAGGTGGATCCGAACGATGAGCTGAAGCCGCTGCCGGGGGATCGGCCGCGGGTGCGGAGTGGGGTGGGGTCTGCTTCGGGGGCGGGGATGGGGAGGGAGGAGAGGATTGTGGGGCGGTGAGGGGATGGTTCTGGTGGAGTGGAAGATTTGGGGAGAGCGGTTGTGGGAAGATGATGTGGGGAGAGGCAGGCTTTCCTCGTTGGATGGGTGAGTGGTTCCGGACGGGCGAGGAAGGAGGATAGATTCTTGCGTCCGTGACACGGTTGGAGGGAAGAGAGGATGAGTAGCCGTTAAGGCATGGCAGGGAGACGGTATGCCAACTCCTTGTTACATGTTGGATGCTGTGATAGGCTGGGAAAACCAACAAACAGTCAGGTTAGCAGTCACAGATCTCATTTGCATATTCTGGAACAAGGCTGAATGAACGTCCAAACCACCAAAGCTTTTTCATTAGTCCTTTAATGCCGCTAAAAGACGCTCGCTAATGCGCTATCAGAAAGGACAGGAAAAGAGAGGTCTGACATCTGGAAGACAACATTATCAGATGACCAGACCACCTCCCATGCTTTTATCCAAACACTCAAGAAAGTGCTGGATTCCGAATCCGCCATGCAGTAAGGACCGATGCTTCGCAACGCTATGCTAGAAGATGATATTGATGAACACAAATCGAAGAGCCAGAGAAAGTCGCAAATGCTCCGTCTCTAGTAAAAAGAGGGTGTTCGAGGGTTGATATGGTACCGATCAAGGTGTTCATCCCCAGAAATTCTCAATGCTCGAGATGTTTGGCCATCAAAGCATAAACATGAATCCGCCCATCATACCACCGAGGACAACAAGGAGACCGTATTTGCCACCAAGACCGAGAGCAAGGCCCTGGATACGGGCAGGAGCAACACTCTTGCTTGACGCGGTGGATGACCCTCCAAAGCCAGTGAATGTGTTGCCAGCGGAATTGCTTGCACTGCTGGCCACGCCTCCACCAGAAGTGGTCGTGGCCGCCATGGTCGAGATTGTGGAAGTATTCAACCGTATGGGATGCTGTGCACCGCAAGGGTTGTCTGAGCGGCAAGCACTCTGGCAAGATGTGTCTGTTTGTTCACATTTGTTGACACAGTTGGTGGCTGATTGGGTACATTCGTAGTAGGGGATAGTCTGGGAGTATTGACTCGAGTTTGGTTGTTGGCCGTTGCTGCAGATGCAAGAGTAGGCTAAGGAGGTCTGTGTCATTGATCAGTACGGGTATACGACAACGACAACAGCAGGACAACTCACCGGATCGCAGGTATTTGCCTTTGGTTGTCCCGATGTTCCTGGAAGTTGCAAGCAAATGAGTGGGCAGGCACTCTTCTGGTCAGTGCACCATTGGTCTGTACATTATCAGACTATGATTAACACCATCCCTCGGAGCAAGATCTTACCTTTGGTTGCGTCGGTTACAGTGCTGGGGTCGATAAACTGGGAGGCAGCAAGCTGGGCGAGGCCTGTGATGGCAACGGTAACGAATGTGTTGAAAAGCATCTTGACTTTGATGATTTCGATGTGATCACTTCTCTTGTCTGACAGACTGTTTGGGATATGTGACTGTCAGCTGTTGAGCGTTGAGTGCGGGGATTGTGCAAGAGTAGTCCCGAGATGCATGGATGGCTCACTAACCAGCCTCTTCCTGTACTATCGTCTCGGTTTAAGAAGTGAAAGTGGTGTAAATACAAATGCAGCGAATGTGTAGTATGAAACGAATGATGCTGCCTCTGTGAATGTGTTTATGATAAGCGAGTGATGATGAAGAAAAAGATGAAGAATATGGGAAGGAGTTGAAGAAAAAAAAGGGCGGCCGAAAATAAGTGGATGCTTCCTGCCTTCGATTGTGGAGACTGGAGCTACCCTGCGACTTGCACCCATTTACTTATCGATAGACGAAAGTCCGAGAATCTGGCTTGCAGGAGCCGTCGAATTAGCCGCGGGAACTACCCGTTCTTGGTCTGGTGTGCTAAATTTGGCAAGGACCTTTACCCAATGCATGGCTCGGGGTCACCTGCAGTCGTCAAATACGAGGTCAAGGCGTGCCACCACTTTTGAGCGTTCTTGCGTGCATATCAAAACTAATCATAAATATTAGAAGGTCACATCAATACTGAATTTATATATCTGATGGATGGAGAGCTCGCATTCCAGACCTTCGGTCCAGAATCATGACAGCTCCAACGGCCAGCCCCGGGAGGAAATAAGTGGGGCAGAATCACCTCCGTCCTTGGTCCCGCCATACTGGTCTCACCGTCGTTATGAATCCTACTCTTCCGTCAAGAACACCAAGCCGCCTCCCATCACTTTGGAAGACCACACCGAGGAACCTTCCGAGCAGAGCGGTGCCGTGTGGGCCGAGGGCGTCACTATTGACGATTATGTACTCGTGAGCGGAACTGTGCCTAATGTTGGGAACTTTGTGGTTTGGAATTGCAAGATCGAGACGCTCGATGTCAGTCTGATTACCCTGCTACATGAGCCCTCCTGTTGTTTTCTCAGCTCGTATGCTTTATGGGTCCTTTCGTCATACTAACGGCTCCCAAGGGCGGGTCCATCGTAATTAGAAAAAGGTCACTGCCAATCTGACTTCCTAATGAGTCTCGTATACTAAAATCAACAGATATTCCGAGTTCGATGATTTGCGACGCAAGCTCTTGATGACTTTCCCTAATTCTGGCGGTGCCATGCCACCGTTGCCCCCGAAGAGCCTTTTCTGTGAGCTCCAACCTCATTTCCAGTTCCTTCTATTGTGCTTACGATCTGGAAGACAAATTCCGCCCTTCCTTCCTGGAGAAAAGGAGGACTGGGCTGGCATACTTCTTGAAGTATGTGTTTTCCTCATGTGCTATCTCTGATCAATGACTGATGGATCTGCAGCTGTGTCCTGCTCAATCCGGATTTATCGAGTGCGCCCGTGACGAAGGAATTCATCTTTAGCTGAACATAGGCTCTCACGTGGCCGGTTTGGGCTGTGCCATGCACCTAATGATGAAAGGATGGTATGTATGGGAGAAGCCTGACTAACGAGTCGAATAATCGAAGGAAAGCGTACATGGCAGAAGCCTAGAATTTATATGGACACGGTCTTTGTATATAATCGCCTTAACGTATTTGGTAATCTTGGTCTAGGGTATGCGAAAGACGCCTGACGTCTCATGGAAATACTGTTGTACACCATCTCCTCATTTCCACATCCTGCAAGAACCCGCACTCCACACAGAATATTTCGCTATGATCTGCCTCGTCACCACAACGCGGTGAAGCGCTACACCTACTTGAGGTTTTTCGCCCCGTCGACTTTGAACCCTGGTAAACAAATGCTCAGGAATATAATAGGTTTGAAGACGCTGAATCTGACGCTAGTGGTCGTGCTGACTACCTATTTACGTTCCCATGCTCGCCTAACGTCCCCATGCTCGCCTACGTCAGTACATCACGCTCGTAGCCTTCATAGTATTCTCCAGGACATTGGTGGTGCACATGCGCCAGCTCTCTAAACCCTGACCACAGGCCTCAATCGCACCATCAACGGATCCTTCTGCCACAAGGTGAAATTCTTGAGATCCTCCAACCACGAATTACTCGACTCCATGAGCTCCAGATCAAACTCAAAAAGCACTCGGGCGAGTATGATGCGCATCTCGGCGTACGCAAGGTTTCGTCCGATGCACCCGCGAGGCCCGATATTGAACGGCTGCGAAGCTTCCCGTCGGTCTCCTGCGTATCGAACATCTCCCAGCCAGCGCTCCGGAACGAAAGACTCTGAATCTCGAAAATTGAGCGGAGATCGAGAAGCGGCCCATGGTGGAATACCAACTCTCGTGCCCCCGGGCACGAAGTGGCCACCCACGACCTCTCCCGCACCAGATGGCACGAGCCGTACCAAGGCAGTCGCGACGGGTGGCATGATCCTGAGCGCCTCGTCTAGGACTGCGAGTTGGTACTTCAGATTGTTTACGCTGACCATGGTGATTTCATGACTGTGGGCGAATGTGCTTCGGATTTCGGCCACCAACTTGTGTAAGACGTCGGGATTTTTGAGGAGTTGAAAGGTCACGCCGCTTAATAGTGTTGCCGTAGTCTCACTTCCAGCAACCATAAGCACCTCGAAGGTAACCATCATCTCCTCCTTCGACATCATCATACTAGGATCGCCCCTCTCCATCGCGCGAAGAGCATAGGACATGAAATCTTTACGGTCTGTTTTAGTGGCCATTCTCTTTGACACCATAGCTCTAGTGTTTTCAAAGCTCCTCATGCTCGACTTATAAATCTTCGATCGTCGCATAAGGGGCACCATAATGGGAGTCAAATGCGGAAAGTATTTGAAAACTGACACTCTTCTGCCAGTCTTGAAGATGACGTTCATAAAGGTTATCCATTGGCTGTTTCCCTTTCTGATGCATTTCAAAGACTGGCCAAAGGTGAGATCACCTATTCAGATTAATTGGTGTCAACTGGAGATGACTTGTTGCATACCAATGATGTCAAAAGCAACGAAATTGTACCAGGAGACCATGTTCTGTGGGCCTTCCTCTGCGGTTTCGTGCAATGAATTCATTAATAAATCGACGTATTCTTGGATGAGAGGCTCTTGTTCTCTCATAGCCTTTTCAGAAAAGGCGTGCGTAAGTACTCGTCGCATTCGACTATGCTCGACGTCGCTCTTGACGGTAAGGATATTCTCCACAACGGCGGCTCTGGTGAATGCGGCGGCTGAACTCCCTGTCAGCATGCAGGTTTCAGTGAGAGATTCACGGTGTACCAACGATCTTTCTGCATGAGTGGCCTTTCCTTGTGGGCTGCCATAATGTCCTTCCATGCCGAAGGATCAATCAATGACAATTCATCCGGGGCAATACGGACAACATTGCCATAGCGTGCATGGAGTTTGGAGACAGCAAAGGGCATCTGTCCGAAGAACGTGTTCCATGCCCATGGGACACGACTCGAGGTCCAGAAGATCTGTCCAGGGAAATGTCTGAGAGGGTGAAAGAAGATGTTGTAGATCACCACGCTAGCAAGATAGATCGCGTACTACAGTTCAACTACCGTGTTAGTAACAGAGAAGAGAAAGGCAGCGAATGAGTGGGACTGTCGTACAGAAACAATGGAGGCCACAAGAACCATCCAGGGAACGCCGAACAGGAAAGCCATGATAGAAGGGACAAGACTTGGAACTTTGAGGACTCTGTGCCGAATTGCATGTGGCTATTACATCAAATAAGACAGGAGTGAAGGGTTGACAGTCTTTATAATGAAGACGAATAGATGGAATACGAGCTTGACCGAGGAGACCCGAGATGATTCTCGTTGGTCTTCCGAGAATGGCACCAATGGGAAGGCTCCCGTCAGCACTGACGCCTTACCTACGTGTAAAGCAAAGACTTCTGTGGCAAGATGCCTTACAAAGTACAGATTGAACTTGATCGTAGTGATCCTCCCAACCCAATAATAAGGTAGTCTATGGGCCGCGAAGCATCCGCTCGATGCATCGTAGCTAGAATTGTATCCACCTCTCAGCCGCAGGACGTAGAGAATATATGGGGGCTATCATTCAATCATGCCGCAGGAAACGGCGACGGGAGCCAATAAGCCAGAGAAGAGCTCAGCTTGCGCACATCGGTTTTTCGAGTACCTAGTATACCTCGAATCCGTTTTTCAAGGCCAGTTCATTACGTCCCACACATCTCGGGCATAGTGAATGACTGATCGATACTTCCTCTCGGAAGCAGACGTTGGTAAGCTCGTGAGATGATCCCTGGGACTTCAGGTCATCATATTTGGGGTGCGTGAGATGGCGGGGGCAGAATCCTGCACAAGTGATAGACTGTAACGGCTTCGAGGCTCCGAGACCACAAGGAAAATATTAAAGTCGTCAGGTGATGGTAATGTGGGGGATTCAAAGAGCCTTGGACTGCAGTATTTAAACATGCGTTCCTCATGTACCTAGCCATTCAACGACGCTCTAAAATGTTTCCTCCGGATTACAAACACCTGTAGCGCATCTCGGAATCAAGGAAATCATGACACACTATTATTTGTGGCTTTGCGGAGTAGTGACGCTGCCGTTGTTGCGGTGGGGTCTCTCTGAAGCCGATTCTCAAACTTTAAGGGATCGCGAACTACTTTTGACTCCCTTCAAATTTCATCGTCGCGATGATTGATCTTCCTCAAATTGCACAAATAGACTACTAAGAACAGAAAAATGAGATTCTATCCCTCCGAACATCATGGCCGCCCTTCCATCCAGGCCCTCCCTCCGCTCGTCCAATCGCAACAATACAATCCTCAATGAAGTACCTCCGACTCATGCCGACCAAAACCCGCTGGCCAATTCACGACGCGGAAAGCGCACCCGCGACTCATCACTCGCCAGTCACAGCAACACTTCTGTCAAGAGGCTGAGATTGGGACTGCCAGATCCTACACGTTCAAGAGATGTCTCCAAAACATACGCATCAAAGTCACTCCCAATTCGCGACAGGTCCGCAACGCAAGATGCCCTGACACAGGTGGGGAAATCGCGCAAGCCAGATCCTCCGCAACCCATTAATGGCACCAATACCGCAATACAAAACGCACAATCCTTCAACAACAATGCTACCCTTACCGTCAATACCACATACACCTCCAGCCAAAATGACAGGAGAAGTCTCAGGTCGCATGATGGATGCTCGCGATCGAAGAGCGAGCTTGCATTGTACTTCCCCAACTACGATGAGTTGGTGAGCATTGAGCCAAAGGAACCCGGTAGGACATCCAATGATCCAGATGCATAGGACGGTGCCACTTACTGATACATACTGCTAGAGTTCCTGACTCCGGAGACCCTCATTCACATCACAGACGACCCCGCAAAAGCTGCACCATCCGCTTCAACCTTCAAGAATGCCAATACCATCCTTCCAATGACTTCCAAAGGGAATGCTACGATGGTCAATGGCTGTTCCCAAGCGTTTACATTATCGGAAGAGACCTTCACCACCCTCAATGACGCTACGAGAATTGATCTCTCAGCCATGGACAAGCGAAATTCCACTCGGGATCAAATGAGTGATGTCGTGTACCTGAAGGCCCACCGGCGAGCAGAAAGGCAGGAAAAGCTGCTTCGCAACATTGAGAAAGAACGGGCAATGCACGAAAAGGTCCAGCTTGAGCGGCTCTTAGATGGCCTAAAAGGACACGACTGGCTACGAGTCATGGGTATCAGTGGGATCACGGATGGTGAAAAGAAGGCCTATGAGCCCAAACGTGACTATTTCATAAGGGAAGTCCTAATACTGCTTGAGAAGTTTCGGGAATGGAAGGAGGAGGAGAAGCGGCGGAAAGTGGAAAAGGAGGAATCGATGCTAGATGAAGACGAAGATCAAGAGGAGGGTGGGTCTGACGAGGACGGCGAAAGCGATGATGATCCACCCGATGACCCCGGTGCCGAAGCCGCTGCAATACAACTGCATAGAGAACCTACATCGGCTACAAAAGCACCATCCGGGAAGAGGTCACACCGTGCAAAAGCGCCCTCGACGCCGCCTTTCCAGAAGCCGTTCACATCTTTCTACTCCAAACCGTACCTTCGAGACGCGGCAGTTGGGAAGCATCGACGCGGGAGAGCGAGATTCGCCTTCGGACAGCCATTGCCTGAACTGGTCGACCAGGACTTTGGTTTACCAGAGGATATTCTGTCACCTGAAGCTATCGATGGCGTTAGGAGGAGTAGGAGAGCTAAGAGACGGCGAAGTAATGAGGATTGAACAATGCCTCTTTGGACTTGTAAAACTAAACCCGGAGGCTCTGGCGTTATGGAATGTCAGAGAGCTGTTGGAACTGGGAGGCATAATGGGAAAAGTGGCGTTTTAAAGGCATAGCCCTTTGTGGGAATGCATGCATAGATCGTAGCATTTCTGAGCAATGTAATGTACAAACTACTCCATCATTCATTCAACTCTTTCTTCTGACAGTTCAGAAGCAGCAGTATGCCAAGGAAAAGGACTCGAAGTCCTTGATGTTTCGGTACATCGACAGTCGTGGTCCCGATTGGTCCGCGCTTAGCCTCGGCATTAGCGCTTGTTTACATGCGACCATTGACAATGGAGTCATGCTTCTTAATGACTTGCATCAAATACTCTCCCGAACCTCAACCCGCCCAGAAATGAATCTCAGTCCGCCAGTGCATAACATGGAGAATGAAATAGCTCTACCTGAGCGACATGGGGCTTCGATTACTGCAAGGGACCTTCCAGACGCTCAAGTAGAGCCCGACAATAGCAAGCCAAATCCTAAAGCGCCAGCAGACAACGGCAAACCTCCCAAGGCTAGAAAAGAAAAGGCTCCCAAGACCCCCAAACCACCCAAAGGCCCTACGCCTCCAAAGGGGAAGAAGGAAACGGCAGCCAAGCCCTCGGTCGAAGATCCTGAATCCATGTTCAAAGTTGGGTTCCTTTCCGAAGTATACCAAGAGAGGCCAGTAGGACCGGAGGGCATAAGCAAAGTTATAACGCGCTGTCAGTTGTCTATCTAAGATCTCCCATGAAAGTCTATCATGTCGGTGCTGATTAATCCTACCTACTTAGTTCCCCCAGAGCCCAATGGCTTCCTCCACATTGGTCATAGCAAAGCAATTGCAATCAACTTCGGCTTCGCAAAGTACCATGGTGGAGAATGCTATTTACGCTTCGATGATACAAATCCTGCGGGCGAGAAGAAAGAATATGACGACTCGATTGAAGACACTGTGAGATGGCTGGGCTTCAAGCCGGTTAAAACCACGCACTCCAGTGATAATTTCGATCGACTATATGCGCTAGCTGAAGCTCTGATCGAGAAAGGTGGTGCATATGTCTGTCATTGCACAAGTGGGTCGATTCCGAGCAAATTGCTTTGGCAAGGCATATACTGAAGGGACTATAGAAAGCGACATCGTTGATCAACGCGGCGGAAAGAAAGGAGAGAAGCCTCGCTATGCTTGCTCGCACCGTAGTCGTCCGACTTCCGAGAGTATGTACGAGTTCAGAGCAATGCGGGATGGCAAGTACAAGCCTGGCGAGGCGGCTCTACGAATGAAGCAGAATCTCGAAGATGGTAATCCGCAAATGTGGGATGTGTTTGCATATCGCATTCCTGCGAAGAAGAAAGACGAGGAAGATGAAGAGGACGAAGAAGAATTACGCGAAAATGATCCAAGAGAGACTGGGGCCAACGGAGCAGATAGCGATGAGGTGCAATACGCCGGCCCACATTATCGTACGGGCGACAAGTGGAAAATCTACCCAACTTATGATTTCACGCATTGTTTATGCGACAGCTTCGAGGGTATCACGCATTCGCTGTGTACAACAGAATTCGAGCTTTCAAGGGTGTCGTACGATTGGCTCAATAACGAATTGGACGTTTACAGACCAATGCAAAGAGAGTGTGTAGTTCTTCTCTGCCATTTATGGGTAAAGACTAATGCGATCCACCAGATACGGTCGCCTATCAGTCAGTGGCACCATTCTTTCCAAACGAAAAATCCACGAACTGGTCAAAAAGAGACACGTTCGAGCCCGCGATGACCCTCGCCTCTACACCCTCCCTGCCCTCCGGCGCCGTGGTGTTCCTCCCGGTGCAATTCTTTCTTTCGTGAATGAGCTAGGCGTCACTAAAGCAGTTACAAATATCGAAGTGAAACGCTTCGAGACTTCCGTGCGCCGGTATCTGGAAGTGACAGTTCCACGCCTGATGTTAGTGCTTGATCCGGTCAAGGTGGTTATTGACAATTTGCCTGACGATCATCTGGAGATGGTCGACTTGCCATTTTCGAAAGACCCGGCTATGGGGGTGCATACGATCCCATTTACCAAAACTGTCTACATTGAACGCAGCGATTTCCGTGAAGTGGACTCACCGGACTACTTCCGCCTCGCTCCAGGCAAAACCGTCGGTTTGATGAAAGCTCCCTTCCCCATCACAGCCACCTCTTTCGAGAAAGACCACTCCACCGGAGAGATAACCCTCATCCACGCGACCTACGAGAAACCAGCCGATGGCTCCGCCCCAAAGAAACCAAAAAGTTTCATTCACTGGGTCGCTTCTTCCCCAGATCATGACAGTCCAATTAAAGCAGAAGTTAGAGTCATAAATCCGCTTTTCAAATCCGATAACCCGGCTGCGCATCCGGAGGGCTTTTTGATGGATATTAACCCGGATTCCGAGGAGATCTTCCCCAATGCGATGATTGAGATGGGGATTGAGGAAATTAGAAGGAGGGCGCCGTGGCCGGCTGAGGCGGGCGAGAAGGAGATCGCTGATGAAGCTAAGATGTATGAAGAACATGCGAAAAGTGATGCGAGCACAACGCCAGGCAGTGTCGAGGCGAATGGTGGGCACTCTGTAAAAGCGGCTGCGAGGCCGGAGACGGTCAGGTTCCAGGGAATGCGGATGGGTTATTTTTGCGTGGATAAGGAGAGCAGTGCTGGGAAATTGGTGTTGAATCGGATCGTGAGTTTGAAGGAGGATACGGGCAAGGATTGAAGTGGGCTTCGCTGTACAGCATTGTTTGTGAATCTGTGATGATAGAGAAGTGGTTGCTCTGCGTGCTGTACAGGTTCTGTGGATAGAGGGATGAGTAGATAGGGATGTGAAAGCAATTGTTATCCAAGTGATGATGGAGAACAGTTCTCGATGATGATCATGATGACGAGTGTTTTGTAGCGGGGATCGAAATTTGCTTCTTTCTTTCTCATGAACCGCCTGAATAAATGTCTCTCCTCACACCATTCAATAAGTGTATCCCCCCCTTTAGCTTTTCCACCTCCCCAGCCGGGACCTCCACTATAGTATCATACCCTCTCAATGCTACCCTTTCAACGCTGGCTAAAACAAAAAGGTTGCTCAAGCCTAGACTCAACACTCAATGCTGCCGATGCCTCTTTGTTACCATCACGTCCACCGCTTCCGCTTCACAGCTCCTAGCGTAGCACTGATTGTTTCGTAAAGTCGTCACGATTGCAATGCAAGAACCGCTTGTGGGAGCTGTGGAGGTGGTAGAGAGGGGTCGTGATTCTTGTTGTAGGGCGCGTGGTGCTGGGGGAAGAGCTGGAAGAAGCGCTTGGTCCCTGGAATTTCCCTTCCCATATTGACCGGGCAGCTCAAGGATGGAATGGATCGGCTGACTTTGTCCATTCATCCATAGCTCAAAGCTTGCCCTCTCTAAGCTGCGCACTCTCCACCCTTTTACCCTCGTCATCATGCTCATCGACCCGGAGATCTGGAAACCGTTTGGGCATTATCCTCCGCGGTATAGCGCCTTCGACGACTGAATACTTCGAAAAATCTTCGACGCCGAGATGTATGCGGAGGAAGTCTTCGTCGAGGTCGAGCAGTCCGTTGACGGTTGATGTTGGAGCGTTGAGCATGGCGAGTATTGCGTCTGAGAAGATGGTCTATGGAGTATATTAGAATAGCTGGCGGGGAGACTGTGATGCACAGTTAGATACATACCGGCTTCCGAAGGTCTTTCGCCTCGGAGGCATCTCTGGCTGTGATTTGAGCAGTAGCCGCGGATTCAATCGCCTAGTAAAGAAGCGGTCAGGACCCTGCTTTCCGCCCCGGAACCTCACGACAGCGGGTGACAGGGTGGAGGAGAGGGAAGAGACGCTGTTGGGCTCACAGAAGCAGGCCAGATACCCGTCACAGCCATTCCAGTCTTTCCCTCCCTTTTGAAATCCATGGCCTGCAGAATATTGGAATTCAGCAATCATTCCGAACAGACAGAAAGTAGTTTGACGAGGTGATTTTGAGATGGCAATTGGGAACGATCGTACTGTCCAGCTCAATGAAAATTGGAGGACTCCAGATTTTGACTTACCAGTCCCTTAACCAGTACACTCATCCCAACCTTCCCCATAGCATACGCAGTCTTCCCCCTGAAAAACCTCTCGTATATCGGCGGACAAACAACCACAATCCTTCCCTGCCATTCACTCTCGGCAAAACAAGGTAGACAAGCCTGCACACACCCATAAAGTCCCTCCGCATTGACCTTTTGCATGAGCTGGAACCGCTTCATAGGCGTATTTTCCACGGATGCCCACCATATAGCACCAGAATTGTATATCAACACGTCCAGGCGCTTATAGTGCTTTATGGTTTGGTCGACCAGGGACTGTATGCTGGAATAGGATCTGGTATCAACGGGGATGGCGGTGGCGGTGTAGCCGAGGGACGTGATTTCTTGGGCTACGGTGTTGATGGTTGAAGAGGGTGAGTTGGAGTCTGGTGGGAAGGGGGAGGAGGGGGAGGGGTCTGAGACGGTTTTGGCGGCGACGACCACTGAGTGGTGTTAGCTAGCTTCTTTTCTGTAAACGTCGATGTATATGTGGGTTAGATGGCCTGCCTTTGTAGTTGTTCTTCGCGAGGTCAATGGCGATCTGTCGGCCTATCCCTCGAGAAGCTCCTACCACAAGAGCGGTTTTCTGCGGGTATGTCATTGATGAATACCTGCCTGGCGTGCCGACCAGTGACCGGGTCAGTGGTCAATGTTCGTCAATGGGGTATAATGAGAGCTATTCTAGAGATTGGGCAATGGTGCTCCATGTTGCTGGGAGGTTGTAAGACGAAGGCTGCTCGATTGGGAGGATGTGACCAATGGACATTGTAAAGCCCACATGAGGTATCTATAACTCGAAACTCCAGGTCTCTGTTCGATCATGTTGTTGGCTACCTCGGTCCAGTACCACGGTGATTAGTATCCACTCGCAGTATCTCCGAGAGTCTTGGCAAAAAAGGGAACACTCGGACGCTCCCGAACCAGCAGTCCAGCAGCTGCCGCTTTTAGGCCACCCAGGTGACTAGGGTGTCCCAGCACCTCACTCTGGGTGTTAAGTGCTCTTGAACAATGGCTTCGAGGCGGAACTCAAAGGGAGAGACTCGACCAGTTGTGAAAAGTGTCCTTGAGGATGCGATCCCTTCCAATGACCAACAGCACATGCGGAAAACCCTCGCTTGCACCGAATATACATTCGGCAATATATATTTTTTTTTTTTTTTTTTTTTTTTTTTTTTTTTTTTTTTTTTTTTTTTTTTTTTTTTTTTTTTTTTTTTTTTTTTTTTTTTTTTTTTTTTTTTTTTTTTTTTTTTTTTTTTTTTTTTTTTTTTTTTTTTTTTTTTTTTTTTAAACAACCCCTTTGCTGTTTGCTTATGCTCGTGCTCGTGCGGCCGCAACGTCTATCCACTTAGCAGTGCGGTGTGGCTTTACCTTCACGTCTTTCCTACTCTTCTGAGAATGTATGTCCTCACTCGTACGCCGTGATTTCTTTCCAGACAAACACTACCACGTGGAAGTTGTGGACTTGGTGCGGTTCAACTCACAGGGAAAGATTGCTCAGATAAAGGAGTTCCTTGACAGCGGCCATATCCAGAAACATGTTGAACGGCATGAAAATGTGCAGGCAAAATAGTCATCGAACTTAATGTCAGCGGCGTCATCTGAGAGGATCGAGCAGAAGTCATGCATAGGAGGAGGTATTAGGCGGGCGAGAAGCTCGAGTATCTCAGATCCCTCACTCAGATAGAAGTCGAGATCTTCCAAGTTATACGGTCAAGCAAGTTGCAAAGAGGGAAAAATATGTCCTAAAGGCTTCCTCCCTTCCAGCCGAAAACAAGGCTGTCATCTCAAGATTGTAACAATTATGGTTGTTTGAAATAGGAAATGGGATTTCCTTCACTACTCAATTGTTTACGGTTCGGTTGGTTACAAAGGCCACCTTTTCTGGAAGAGTGCCCATTGAGATCCAGAAAACCCGAGGTTACTTCTACGCATGGCTTCTGCTCGATCCTCTTTCAACACAGCCTGCAAAGCCCAGGGTTTCCCAGATGCGGTAGTGGTGGGGGTAGAGTACATTAACACGCAAATCAAAGTACATGAGATGACAACTAAGTCGAAGTATCCTACGACCATACATCTTTCATTCGATTGCCTGATCGACATGGCATGTTGCGTGGTCTAGGTCCGCTCATGCAGGCCGTCAAAGCAGGTGATTACTTGGCAGTCTCCGCCTCACCACACTCATTACTTCGGGCACTCGCTTATGCGCAGCTGATACGGACTTTTAGTACTGATTGTACCGGGTACTACCCCTCGAAAGAGCTTGAGCCAATGACAACCAACAAAGGCTCAAGTGCTGACACATGGCCGCATTTGTGGTGGAGGCTGGCGCAATTGCGGTCAAGACTGCGGCTTCAATCGCGCCACGGACTTCATGTCTTTGTTCTTTATAGAAGAGTCTACGCATTCACAGGGGTCAGAAAATCGGCACACATCCAAACCTCACCGCTCGAGTCGGGAAAGAGAGCCTTGAAGGTTTCCGGCAAGCGCACCTCTGAGGATTTCCTTCCGGCTGAGGCTTCCCACGTTGCAACAACAGCAGATACATGAGCTCGCATCAGGGCGCAACAGTCGCCATGGATCCTTTCTCTGCACTGAGCCTGGCCCGCAATGTCATCCACTTCGTAGACTTTGGTACCTGGGTCGTCTCGGCTAGCTTCGAGCTCTACAGTCCTGATGGCATATCTACCAACGTGGAATTGGAGTCTATCATGCATGACCTCACCGGAATCTGCGCGGGTCTGGAGCAACCCGAGGACTCAATCGATGAGCAAGTGGCGTCCAAACCGGAGCTCGATCTGATTACCTCTCGCCTTATCATGCAAAACCCTTGTAGAAGAACCTTTGTCTGTATTGCATGAGTTGAAGGCGGAAAGTCCCCGTAAGAAATGGCAGAGCTTCCGCCTAGCTGTAAAGGCTGTGTGGAAGGAGAAAGATATCACGTGTTATAGAAAAAGCATCACAAATCTACGGTCGGAAATTTGCACTTCGTCTTTTGAACTCCCTAAGGTACGTGTGGACCTTGCAATCTAGATGGATCCCAATGTCCTCCCAAAGAGAAGAACAAGCGAAGGTTGTGATTGCTCCGAATACACTCATTGAGAGTCACCTTCACCTTGAGGTTCTCAGTGAGAACCACGCGGCCCAATTGAAGAGGCAAATCATGGCCTCACTAGATAGCTTGACTCCCCTGGTTTCTACACAATCCCAAACACTCTCTGAACGAGTCACCCTCCGAGGAACCTATGGACGTGATGACCAATCTGACATCGCAGCGTTCGGCCCTAGCCATTGAGGGCGATATATATGCGAAACAGCTGAAGGTAATCGAAAGTCTTCGATTCGAAACGATTTCTGAGGGGCCGAGACGTATAGTATAGGCTTATCCGACAACTTTCGAATGGCTGTTCGCAGACGTCCATCCCGCCGAGCTCGCAGAGGTTTCCACGCCGCCATTTTTCAAAGCGAGCAATGGCATATACCGGGACGGTGGGAAAGCTGGGTCCGGGGAACCAACCCGCATGAAGTTCCTCGCCAACAATGAGAGGGCGCACGAGGCACTTAGCATACGGGCGGGCGAAACGCCGCTCCTTCGTCCCATTCTCCGGGACAAGAGCTGATGTTATGGACGTGCTCGAACGCCTGGGAATGCAGATATCTGGATTCCATACGGCTCTGCTTGTTCATCGATGGACCGGATGCATTCGATGGGGATATCATACAGAGGTCCTTGAAGTCTCGGAGGGCGTCGCCTCGGACCACATCAACATCCGCTTCTTGATCAGACCAAGGAACGTCTTTCGAAACGCCTACGGTGCTTTGAAAGAATCCCTTTGCTCTCGGAGCGATCCCTTCCCCCTCCCCCCTCACACACCCTCTCTCCACGCGCTCCTAACAGAGATCGCCATCACCAGGGCCGCTATCCAATGACCTAGACGGCCAATCACAACCTCACGCGCGAACGTGAAGCCCCTCCACCTGGCAAGGAAGAGAACCCCAATCTCGATCCAATGCGTACCCACTCCGAACGCGAATCTCCTCGTCCCCCATCTACGACTGCCCCGGCGGGCGGAGAGGAACGCAAAATCTGCTCCTAACACGGGACACGTGACGTGCAGCTCCTCCGTCCGCTGGAATTTTTTAATCAAGCAAGCGTCCCATTCAGGATCGGGGTGGTGACGTTTCAACATGGCAACCCGTGTTGGACCGTGAACGACCGGTCCAGAGGGCAAGTGTCAACAGCTGATCTTCCAAACAGATAGATAATCCCTTCGGGCTGGAAACACCTACCGACCTTTGGCGCCGGCGGCTTTTGTAGCGTTCTGTCGCTGAGGGAGTCCTCGTGTTTATGCTCGTCTGGTATGGTTGTACTCTCCATTCTCTTCTCTTAGGCTGCTTCCTTGGCGGAAAGGATCTGGCTGGCATTGCCAACGCGATGCGAGGACGAGCCACATGCTGTATCTATGACCAGTGACCGGTGATCGGTGGGCAAAGGGCCGCTTGATGGACGGCTCAGGGCGAGAAAGGGTTCGAGTTGCGAGTCGCATTAGGTGACTGGTGTTGTGGGAGCGAGGAGCGACAGGTGATTGAACAGAAGGAAGAAAACTACGTGGTTGTGATTTGGTAGATAAATCTGAATTAAGATTATCGAGATGTGGTACTATATATCGACGCTGCATGGGATATCATGATAGTGAGGAAAAAGCTTTTTGAAGGCAGCTAAGCCTGTCAAAATCCAGCCGTAGCTCATCAAGAGTCCAAAAAAGAACCTGATCGATCTGTCTCAAGATCGAATGTACTGATCCACTTCCGGGTTGCAGGTAGCCGGTCGAAAGCTCCCAAAAGAGTGCCTTTTCATGGATGGGGTCTTGGAAGACTTTCCTGTAGCGTGAAGCTCCTCGTCCTCATCGTCCCCGTAATTACTGTCACCGCCATTGACGCTGTGATGGTCCATTTCGTCATCACTGGAGTTTGCACTCCACCCGTCCCGGCCTGATCCGTTCTCACTTGTTGACGGAGTGGTTGGGTTCGATCGGTGGCTGCCAATCTGTTGAATAATACCGGCATCACCATGTTGTATTGGGCTGCTGGTGTAGTCGATTGGGCTGACATCCCCGAATTTCTGGTTGAGAATCTCCCACGATGCTGTCCTGATTGGCTTGGGTGAGTTGAGGGGAATGTTGTGGACGACGGAATGTTTCCGTGGGGGAGACGGCGTCCAAGAGGACCTCTTGCTGCTCTTTAGTGGCACCACGAGAGGGGCTGGCTTGGCGGAAAGGATGTCCATGTCAGGTCCAAGCGCGAGAAGCCTCTCCCTAAGCGAAGCGGTCTTGAAAGGTGCCAATGCCGGCCTCGTAGACTTCTTCTCGCCAGTCTTCCAAGGCGGCGTGCCACCAATCTGACAGCACAATGGATATGAAACCCCTTCTGTGTCTTTGACTTCTTGCGGCGCGTGGGTGACTGAGATGAGGATTTGCAGGATTGCGTACACCAATATCCAGCGAACCTTTCGCGCATCTGCGCAGGAAACCGTTGACTGCTCCAGCATGGTCCACTCTTTCTCGAAGCGCAGATATCCACGGACAAGACCACAGTTCATGACGCCATCATCGTAAGGATTGGAGGCAGCACAGAGAGCATCGGAAGCTGCAAGCCGCCTTTCGGTGTTGGCTCGCTTGCCACCAAACATCCTGCCAAACGTTGAACGATTTTTTACAGGAGCAGGAAGCTTTGGTACCAAAGGAAGCGGATGTGGAAGCGCGGTATATTTGTGCCTCTTGTCGAAAGCCACAACGTTCTGGTAGACACAAATTCCGCCGTCGACGGGCTTGTTGTCTTGGATTGAGGTTCCCGAAGTAGGGTCGCACAAATATTCGTACAGATCCCGAAAGTCGGAGTACATCGAGCGATAGACTTCTTTTGGCAATCCACAGCTACTGCCATCCAGTGGAGTTGGTGGCCAGTATCCGTGCTGCCCAACATAGAACGTGTGTAAGAAAGACCTGAATCGTTCCAGATGCAATTGAGCTTCCTTTCCTAACCCGAGCGCGCCGCTTAGATCATTCTCCAAAAAGTTACCCAACGATGCCCCAGCACGTTCCAGTCGTAGATCCATTTCCAGATGAGCTCTTGATATCAGAGCCTGTGATGTGCGTGAAACATACTAGACACCAAAGTCAGAACAGTTCGGGATAAACGAATCAGTGCTCATCGACTTACCTCAAATTCTACACTCTCATCCAAGTGCTCCCACATGCCTGCGCAGTGTACAAACGCATCGGTCCACAGGTCACGGTCTTGCAATCTCTCGGCAAATTGAAGGGTAGCCAGAGCGTGATCCGGGCAATCACGGAAGTCTGTGTATCCCTGGCTGTCAATGTATTCGAGGATGTCGTATCGATTGTCATCTTCGTTGGAGGACCGGAACTCTTGCATTCGGCCGAAAAGGGCAAGCATAGCATCTCCAAGACGACCACCGACCAAAGGTTTTCCATACATCCACGCGAAGAAGTTCCGTGTGGTCAGGTGGTACTGGAAAGCTTCTTCCCTGCTCAAGTGTGTCGGGGCTGGGATGTATAGCTCATGCTGTGGAACTGCTGATCCGAACTTGACCTCCTCCGAAGAGTCGGAGAATTTGTCGGAGTCTGATGAAGATACAGGTGGGGTTCCCGGGACGAAGGGGGCGTAGCAACGCTCAATAAGGGGTCGGCAGTCGCTGGACTCGATTTCTGCGAGGGAGAGTCTCAAAGAAGGCCCTCGCCTGGACTGGCCTCGTTCGTTGAAGTGGACAAGACAGTCCCCGTTAGGAAGCCAAAGCTCGGGATCCTGAAAAAGATTAACGGGTGGATTCTTTCTACGCCGATCGCATCTCTGCCTACCCTGCGTAGAGAATCCCACTTGACGGTCGTCCTTCGATTGCCATCCCATCTCTTGATGAGTGTAGATTTGGGAGAGACGGAGGTCGCATCGGCTCCACGATACAGCTGTTCGGTTGAGGCTTTGGCGGATCTTTGAAGGTAGAGGTTTAATTTGGCTACCCGTCGATTTGCGGTGATTGGAGATGGAGAGGGTGAGGGAGATGTGTTTCTGCTGGCCGCAGCAGACATGCTCTTGGTAAGTTTATTGCCACGTTCCATTGATCGTTGTCGCAGTGATGAATAGGACCTTGATCTGGTGGAAGGCATGATTACTATTGTTCCGGCACGACCTGCGGCGGATGATGTTTCGGATATGGGAAGATTGGGGGCGACACAGTCGTACTAGAAATAGAAGAAGAAGAGATGCGGAAGAAGACCCATGGGAAGAACGAATGGGCAACGGTAAGAATATGATTGATGGATGGTAGGATTAAGGTAATTAGATGAGAAGAAGAGGGATATGGGTGAAAGTGTAGGTTGCGCCATGACAATATCTTGGCGTTTCGGTCAATAATTCATTTGATACTGAACTCATTATGTGCATGGATCTGCCCGATAAATTGGAAGACATGTGGCGTCATCTCGCTGCACTTCAGGCAGGATCGACGCATGCTTGGTATCTCGGAAGAAAATAAATACCGTTCGCTTCTAACCTATTCCCAATTCGATACATGACACCTTACCTCTTTTGATCTGAAATGGCTGAAAGGAGACAAGGGTCCTCGTCGGTTGGTATGGGTAGCCGTTTGATTTGCTTATACGGATCCGCTAAGAATCATTTTCTTCCGAATTTGATTTAGAAAGGCGGGGATCCATTTCACCGTAGCGCAAGAATCTCACGCAAGCTTCATCCTGGAAGGTCGGACCTTTCAGCAAATGTCGACCGTGTCTGTCACATTCGAGTCTCGTTCAACGATCAAGCAAGTCATTCTCATTATCATGACGATGCGACCTTTGGAAAGATCTATTATCTAGTGGTAGTGAATCGATGAACGTCATCAACGTCCATAAACTGTGATCGACGACGCACAAAGCATGTTCTATTTAGTCGCCGACTCGCCGTCGGTGGCCGAGGTGTGGGTGAGGTTAGGGTAAAGCTTAACGATGTGCGGCGTGGGGCTTCTGCTCGCGTGGTCCCTGCAAGAAGGATCAAGTACATCGTGCCTTGCTGGCGCCATTTCCTCTTCAGGTCTTCAACAGAGCCTATGAAAAGCCAATCTGGGTCCAGATGATAAAAGACCCCAATTCCCTTCCATTTATGGCGGTGATACGGGAAGCCAACACTATAGTACTCAAGCTGGCGGGAGGTGCCTGTAAGGGCGTTTCAGCCTTGATAAACTCTTTCCTGCCATGCGGTCGGAAAAATAACTCTAAGGATCCTACTAAAATTGCCGTTGTTGAGAAGCGCAGGTGGATCTGGCACGAGTCCAGCTACAGTGACATTGATCTCGATCTCTTCATCCAACATCAGAGATACCGGAGGAAATTAGGCGCTGGCATCGCCATTGAATCGCTTGGTCAACTCTTTACTCTGTACGGTGACCCAGACTTGCGATTCAGCAGCTCGAATGGCTGTCGTTGGGGTGTCTCTATTAATCCACATGCTTGGAATCCTTTCTGAAGCAGCACATTTCTTCTTAAGCTACCTGATTGTCATCGTTGTGAGCGTTACAGTTGCCCCCCTGCGATAGGTCTATGGAAATGTCTCTCAGCCGCTGCAGGTATGGTGATAGCCCTACAGGCTGTTGAACGCCAGCCCAAAGTTTACTGGATGCTACGGTTAACAGGCGACACGAGTAGCGTGAGTGGGGACCTGTCAAGATCAAAAGCTAGCAAGCGTCAGCGTCGATGAATTGGATTTAGCTCGCAGTCCGGTCACAGCTCAGGGAGGGGAGTTCGTTATTCTTATTTCCAGATCACAGTCAACTGACTGTGTTTTGATGCGCGAAATGCATAGAACGCAGATCACCGAGCATGAGTGCTGCACGTACATGCAGCATCGGACCGGCGCACCTCCACCCTCTTGCGCGAGCGAAGCTGCGAGCTGCATGTGAGACGCAAGCCAAACCGTGAGCCGCGCAGCAAGTCCCTGCATGCCCTACTACCAAGACTTCCAACGCCATGACAAGTAGCGACGGACTCCCTAATGCTCCAACCATCGCGCCCTTCATCCCGAAAACGCGCGTCCTCGAACTCGGCCTTGGATCCGGCTTCTACACCTCCTCCTTCCTCTCCTTCCCACCTCGCCCCCCATGATCTCCGAAGCCCGCCGCAGGTGCAGCGCCGGTGGTGCGACCTCTCTATCCGCGAGCCCTGACGACGATGACGACGACGGAAGAGGGAAAAAAGCAGCAGCGTCGTTTCACCCTGGCCAACTGCACGAAACCGATCCCCAACGCTGACTGCTCAACTACGCGCCCGACCGCGCCGCTCTCGCCGTCATATTCCGCAACGTCGCCTTAAACCTCAAGGATAGCGAACGCCTGATCAGCGTGACGTTGCTGCCGGCGCAAAATCCGACGGCTTCGATCGCGGCGGAGTTCGCGGTGCGGCCGCCGCCCGAGGGATCGGGGGTTTACTATACCGCGTGATTAAGAATGTGGAGAATAGAGGGTATTTCCACGTGCATGGGGAGACGGAGGTTAGGGATGTGGGATTTCGATTGCTATCATCTGGGGAAGGGGGTTCATGAGGTGGCGGCGAGGGAGGGAGGGATGAAGGAAGGGGGAGCCGAGGTTGGGGGGGCATGAATGTGCCGGGCTATGGTTTGTTGGATATTGCTAAGTAGATGATGGTACGAGCCTTGTCATTGACGTTGTCGTTATTATCTTGGGATGCGCCGAGCGACACTCGCAGTCGTCATTTCTTATCCCCGCCGTCTTTAACCCCGCGGCAAAGACTCGTTTCCATCTTTCCCTCACACTCCCACCCCTCAACATCACAGCACCGCTTCCCACCCTCAACCGCAAAGATGGACCCGTACACAACCCTCTACCCAACCCTAACCCCCCACACCATCCCCGTCACCCCCACCGTCTCCCTCCACGCCCTCACCTCCCCCCCCACCACCCCCCACACCAACCCCCCCCTCCTCCTCCTCCACGGCTTCCCGCAAAACCTCCTGATCTGGCACCGCCTCGCCCCGCACCTGACCGGCACCCACAGCCTCGTCCTCCTCGACCTGCGGGGCTACGGGAAATCGTCCAAGCCGGCCGGCGGGGCGGACCACGCCGGCTACGGCAAGAGCGCCATGGCGGCCGACTGCGCGGCGGCGATGACGGCGCTGGGGCACGCGCGGTTCGACGTGTGCGGGCACGACCGGGGCGCGCGGGTGGCGCACAGGCTGTGCGTCGGGTATCCGGAGCGGGTGCGGAAGGCGCTGGTGCTGGATGTGGCGCCGACGCTGGCCATGTACGAGAGGACGGACATGGCGTTCGCGCGGGCGTACTGGCACTGGTTCTTCCTGATCCAGGACGCGCCGCTGCCGGAGGGGTTGATGGTGGGGGGTGCGCGGGGGTGGATCGAGAATACGATGGGGGGGCCGGGCGGGGCGGGGCTGGGGACGTTCGATGAGGCGTGCGTGGAGAGTTATGTGGGGCAGATGGGGGATGCGGAGACGGTGCATGGGATGTGTGAGGATTATAGGGCGGCGGCGGGGATCGATCTGGAGGAGGCGCGGGAGGATGTGGCCGAGGGGAGGAAGATTGCGTGTCCGTTGAGGGTGCTGTGGGGGAAGAAAGGGGTGATTGAGGCGCAGTTTGATGCGTTGGCGGAGTGGAGGAAGGTGAGTGAGGAGGGGGTGGTGAGTGGGGAGAGTGTGGATTGTGGGCATTATATTCCTGAGGAAGCGCCGGACGCGGTTGTGAGACATATTCGGGAGTTCTTGAGGGATTGAGATGGGGTTTCTTTCCGCAGCTCCTCAAGAGGTGATTTGGATACGTTGCCGTAGCGCAGAGACCGATGGAGGACAGCCAAGGCTAAAATGCCTCATGATATAACGAATTGAACGGACTTGTCGAATGGAAGCATTCTTGAAAGGTCGCACGTTCGTCCACTTCTCCTTTACCTTACCAGTCAGCACTCTTCCTCAACATCACACGAATTGTCATCGTCTCCGTCTCCAACGCCTCAATCCTCACGCGGCCTGCAGCTGAGTATGCAAGGGATGGTTCCATGTCTCCCCATACGCCAGAAATTACCTATGCAGGTCTCACAGTTGCGGTGAAGTATTGGAACGATCTGCGCGAGGAGCGACAACTACAGAATCCTGAGTCTCGCCTAGGATTTTGCAGTTGGAACCAAGATATCGAGTGTCTTCCGTCGATGCTTTGTCTGTTTTTCTTACCATACTAGCCTCCCCATGTGCGTCTTCTAACACCACGAAATGATGTGCGGTGGGACTCTTCTCAAGCCTCAGTTTCTTTTGCAGCCCCCAGACAGTCAGCGTCTTCGTTCTTCCAGCTGTAATGGAACGTTGGCACTGAACCTAGTCCCGCCACGCCCTTTGAAAAGTCATCCTATTCAGGCCAGGCGCCCGGAAGGACGTCTGTGCAGCTGACCGAGCTGTCGAATAAAATGTTGTTATACTCGTCGCGCTCGACCAATGTGCGAAGTGGCGGGTATCTGTCTTTCTCTGGAACCCCTTGCGAATCCTGGATCCGTTGCAAGAGCTCTTCCAAAGCTTCAACAACTCTACACTCTTCCTCCAGTGTTGCAGCCACTCCGATCCATCCAAATATCCACGGGCTGTTGGCCGAACGGTATGGCTGAACACATCTTGGGTAGAAATCATTGTCAATCTGACAAGATCGGTCACTCCACTCAGCTCTAGCCCTGAGCACCAAAAGATCGAGCGCAGTGTATCCGTCATCATCTCGCCTTTCGAGATCTATGGAGCTGAGATCTGCCTTGCGCATAGCCTGCACGAGATTGTGATCCCGTGTATGAAGCAACTTATCTTCGGACAGTCCCCCTCCGACAGTCCCCCGTCCACACTAATGCAGCCTCCCGCGCACGATCTACACATTAAGCTTTTAATCCCCATTATTATTAGCAACTCAGCTAAAGAAGCCTAGTCTCGGGGATATCTGCGCTTGATAGTTAGATACCCCTATTTAAACATAAATAGGATCTTATAGAGCCTTCGTAGAGACGTCGTAAAGCCCCCGTAAGATCTACTACTAACAATATCTTTCACTCTAAAGAGCTCGTCCTTAAGCTCCGAAAGATAAAAATCGCAATATTCCGAGGATTCTTTCCCCGACGATTTTAAGAATAATATGCCCTATACTCCGAGGTTTACTCCCTCGAAGACTCCTAAATACCCGCACATTGCGGGGCTTTAAACTGCCTTTGGAATTTTTATCTACGAGGCTATCAAGTGAAAGATCTTTAGCCCCGCCTTTACACCGATATATAATATAAAAATAAGGCTATATTTCAGGTCTATAGCCCCGCCTTAGCGCACATAAATCTTAGGCCTATTTTAGTCGGTTTCGGAGTTTTTTTTCGGGCGTTTATTTACTTCTAGGGCTTTTACCCTAAGGCGTAAGCTTTATAAAGGCTCTGCGACGGCCTTACGAGGCTCTATTTAGGTTTAAATAGAGGTGTCTAACTATCAAGCGTAAATATCCTCGAGATTAGGCTTTTTTAACTAAGTTAATAATAGAGAGTTTTAAATTAAGAAGTTAATTACAATTTAACTCTATCGTATATATACTATATTAGCTATTTTCTCTATATATTCGCGTAAGAACTCTATTTAATTTTTAATAGATCTATATAGCTATAAGACTTTAGTAAGTATAGTCTTCTTCGCAAAATAGTAGTCTTAATAAATATCTTTATTTATTAGTTACGTAGTTATATAATTACTTCGTAATCTACTATATTCTAAATTAGCTATAAATAAATACTATTAAGAGATCTCTTTTATATATATTTTAGCGTTTATACTTCTAAGAATAATTAAAAGATAAAGAATCTTCTTATTCTTCGAGAGACTATAAAGAAATAATGATATTACGTATTACGAATAAGTATTTTAAAGTCTAATTAAAGCTTAATTATTCTTTCTTTCTTATTTAATAAAAGATTCTAAAGCTTTACTTAAATAAATGGATTTAACTTTCAAAGAATTCTTTATCTAATCAAGAAAGATATTATTTTTTTAAATAGATTCTATACGTTTTTATAGATATCTATTTAAAACTAGCTACTTATAGTCTTATTTAGATTTAATTATAAGAGAAATAATAATAGCTATTTAAAGATCGCTAGTTAATAGAGAATCTCGAAAGAATATATATATAATTATATTAAACGCGTAATTATTATTCTCTATAAATATTTAAATATAGTTATTTAATAATTAGATATTAGAAAGAGATATTTAAAAAGTATATATAATAATAAATAAGAGAGTTTTATTAAGGCTATAGAGAAGATAGATAGAACTAATATTATTTTAAAATATAAGTCTAAAGAAAAATATAATAGCGAGGTCTTTTAAAATAGAAAGAAGAGATATATATTAAATTTATATATTATTTATAATAGTAGTAAAGAGATTATATATATAAGAGTAGAAGTACTCGAAGCGAATTAATAGGCTCGCTTACGTCGCTTACTAGATTATAAGCTATATAGCTAAAGCGAGTATTTAATATATTTAGCAAAGTCTTAAATACTTACGAGTTTTCTTTCTTCTTTTTTTTTTAATTATTAATTTATTTAGTAATTAATCTATTTATTCTATTAATTATATATCTAAATCTTATAATTATATAGCTATTATATAATTTTATTAAAAGAGATCTTACTATTTTATAATTCTAATAACTTTATTTATATAAAGTTATTTAATTTAATTATAATAAATAACTTATAAGTTAATTCTATTAATTTATAAAGTAGAAATATCTTATTATAACTAATTAGTAATATTTTTAACTTAATAAATAACTTTCGTTAGAATACGCTTATTATATAATTAAGCGATTATAATATTAATTCTAATATCGATAAAAATTCTAATAATATTATTAATAGAAATAATAATCGCTAAAGCGTTATATCTAATAATCCTTTATCTATAGATAAAGACTCTTATCTTATAAATTTAACTTAAATTTAATATTATTAATTTTTAAAGCTTAATATTAAAAAGTAATTAATTATTAAAAAATTTAAACTAATTAAAATATAGAATATATAAGAATATTATCGCGAGTATAGCGATAATTATTATTATAATTCGAGTTATAAAAAGATAAGTATTATTAAAATATCTAATATATAGTATTTTAATAACTATAACTCGATAATTATATTTCTTTAAAACTATAATAATTTTATCGCCTTAGCGCTTTATATCGATTTTTATATAAATAAAGAAAAGATTTATTAATCTTCTATTCTATTAATAAATATTAAAAAATAAATTTAAAGAAATATTAGAAATACGATATTACGCGATATTAAGAAATTTATCTAAAAGAAATATAAAGAATAATATTTAAATTAAGTTTATAATTTAGTTATTAAGTCTTATAATATAAAACGCTAATTAATTAAAATAATTATAAAAAATATATAGTTAATAACTAGCTTTAATAATTATTTTACTATACTCTAATTATAGTAAGATTATTATATAATTAATTTAGAATATATAAAAACTTTATAAAATAGAGTAATAGAGAAATTTTTTTTAAAAGCTATAAAGGAGGTTATTTAATCTATTATCTATATTATATTATTATAATAATATTAAAATATAAAGTAAAGATTATAAAAAATGAAAGAGCTCTCTACTCTAAATAAAACTCGCTTTAATAATAAAATAAATAATTAAAAAAGTAGTAATTAATAGTATATAAAGTTTAAGAAATAATATATAAAGAATTAATAAGATTAAAAGAAGAGTTTATTCTCTTTAACGTTATAAGATTAAAAGTTTACGCGAATTAAATTTGAAGATAGCGACTCTTATATTAAGTCTAAAACGTCTCTTATTAAAATATAATATTATAATTATAAATAATTAAAATATTATAAGAATTCTTTTAAATATTTAAATTATATTATAAATAACGAAGTATATAATTATAGATTAAGTAAAAAAAAAAAATAAAGCTTAATACTTATTACTATAGTATTAAATATATTATTAATTAAATAATAATCTCGCTCTCTATTATTAAGAGATAAAATTATTATATTAAATAGAAAGTATAAAATAATTACTCTAGTAAATATTAATAGCGAGAAAGTCTTTATATTATAATCTTTTATTAAAGAGATATAGATTTTTAAATCTAAATACGCGTTAATAATAATATATATTATTAATAGTTATTAAATACTCTTATATAAGAAGTATAATCTAATCTTTAATCTCGCGGATAATTAAGAAAGAAAATAAGAGTAAATTTTAAAAGCGTATATCGTAAATATATAAGAATACGATCTTATTCTTAATTTCTTTTAAATTTATAATATTAATTTAAATATTTATTAGCGCGAGTAGTTTTAAACTTATCGCGATTTTTCTATAAGTAATAAGAAGTAAATAAATATCGTAATAATAAATATAAAGTAGTTTATATTATTAACTAATATAGTAATTATATATAATTTAAAATAAATATTTATTATATTCTTATATTAGATTCTATTTAAAAATAATAAGAATAATTATAATAAAGCTATATAATATAATATTATATAGTTAGATAATTTTAATATATCTAAATAACTTAAAAATCTATTAGAAGTCTTTTTAGAAGAATTATTTAATAGTTTTAATATATATAATTAAATCGAGTACTCTATTAATTTACTATTTAAAAAACTATCTAAAAATAATTTAATTTATAATATATTATATAATAA